TTCAGCAGGGACAAGGTGAATCTGCTCATACCTTGTGTGCTGAAAGACAGGTGAGAGTGTGGGGAGACACACCTGCTTTAGGACTGGGCTGACCATCCCATCTTATCAGCTTCTCACAAAGTGTGAGGGAAATGAGGAACGATTTCTGTGTACTGGACACTTGAGCATTTTTACTTAATTCTCACAAAGGTCTATCTAGTCCTATCCCACCCTGCCTTTCCCAGACATAGGAAGGGAAGTTGGTATGGACCCAGAGAGGGGAAGTAACTTGCCTTGAGTCATGTAGTTCAGAGGTGGAGCTAGCAGAGCCCTTGGTTTTTCACTACTTCGTGTCCCTAAGAAGACAGCTTTTCCCTCTGTGGTGCCCAGGTCTGTATTATACCCAGAGGAATAGCTGGAAGCCCTTCCTGGCTCTGTAGCCCCTGGAAGACAGCTGGATTCTGCCCCCTTCTCTGTCCCAGCACTCAGGTATGGGTTGAAGCGATGAGGGCCACCTCAGCTTAGTGCAGGGAATGTGGAGACAGGATCAGAGTTGAGGGGGCCTCCCTGAACTTACAAAGATACCACCAAAGTCCTTGGCAGGCGTGGCTGTGAAGATATATCGAATGTCCCCAGGACTCAGCACTTGAAAGTACAAATAATCATGGATGCGTAAGCCTGAAAGGTAAAATGTACAGGTGAGAAGGCTCAAGGGAAAAAAGCTGGCTCAGGTTCAGATCATGGACCCCATGCCTTCAACGGGGCTGGTTAATGTCTGGGCCCAGAGACCCAGCTTCAGCCTGTTGGGTCCTGCAGGTGGGTAGGATAGATGGTCTCTGCCCTGGAGAGGATAGAGTTGATGCAGACAGAGTTAGTAACCCCAGAGATTTACAGCTGCTGCTGTTGCTGCTTACACGGGTGAGCCAGGAAGACATAGCTCCAGTGTTAACCTCTCTGAGGGTTAATTCATTCATCTTTGCTCTGAAGCAGACTTAGGAATTTCAAGATGGAGATGTGGTAGCCTGCGTACAAAGCAACTCTCACCAAAACTTAAAAGTTGACTCTGGTTCCGCTGCCATCCTCCTAGTCCAGCCACTATCATTTCTTGTCCTGGCTGTTGCAGCTTTTTAACTGGTCTTTTTTTTTTTTTTTTTTTGTACGCGGGCCTCTCACTGTTGTGGCCTCTCCCGTTGCAGAGCACAGGCTCCGGATGTGCAGGCTCAGCGGCCATGGCTCACGGGCCCAGCCGCTTCACGGCATGTGGGATCTTCACGGACCGGGGCACGAACCCGTGTCCCCTGCTTCAGCAGGCAGACTCTCAACCACTGCGCCACCAGGGAAACCCTAACTGGTCTATCTTGGCCTCCATTTTTGCTCCCTACGGTCCATTCCCCCAATAACTGCCAGGGATTTTCTTAAAACCTCTTAAAGCAAATATGATCATGTCACCACTTCAATACCCTTCAACGACTTCCCTTTGCACTTAAAATCTAAACTTAACTCTGACCTGCAAGGCCCTGCTTGATCTGGCCCTCCAACCTCATCTCTTCCTATGTTCAAGCTACACTGCCCTCCTTTCAGTTTCTTCACATCTCCAAGGCTTCTTGCAAGTTCCCTCCCCCTACCCCCACCTCTACCCCTTCATATGGCTCACTTCTATTTATCCACCAGGTCATAACTTAAATGTCACTTAGAGAAACCTGCCCTGTGACTGCCCTCCCCTTATGCCCATTCAAAATGTACTTCTTCTCCAATGACACTTCTAACATCATTTGTAATTATACAGTATTTGTAATTTTTTGTTTATTGTCTATCTCCTGCACTAGGACAAGGACCTAAGTTTGTAACTTCATTCAATACTGTATCCACATTATCTAACATAGTGGCTAGGATACAGTTGGTGCTCAAAAAGGTTGTTGAATGAATGAACGGCTATTTCCAGCTCTACTGTGTTGAGGAAGGGAATTGCCCAGAATAACCAGATATTTCTGGGGTGTGGATCTTTTAGCACCAAAGTCTAATGATTTACCTGAACTTGAGTCCCTGGTTTCCTTAGCCCAGAGAGACTGAGGAATGTGAAAAGGTGGAAGCTGCTGCCACAAGTCTGTTAGTCAATCAACAAACTATCAAGTCGCTACTGTGTGCCAGCGTTGGGATGGATTGTGGCTTTTGCTGTCCTTTTCTACTGTCCAAAATCCGCCACCCGGTAGAGCTCCACTGGCTTGGCACTGGGCTACATATATGGCCTTTTATCCTGGGAGTGAAGACTTCCCATCAGGTACAGATAGACTCCCAAGGAAGCTTTCCTGGATTAGCACTAAGCTTCCCCTCCTTCCCACATACACCTTTGCCTGGCCTTTGCATCTGCTGATCTGTGTAAATCAAGTGTAGGTATACGCATGTGCTCACGTACGTATATGGGTGTATGTTTATGTTCTCGTGTAGGTGCAAACAAGTTGGGTGTGTACATATGTGCTAGTGCCTGTGAACCCACGTGTAGCAATGTGTGGCCCCGTTTATGTATGTGAGTGCTCACGTATCTCCAGCTTGTAGTATCGCTAGTTGCTCCTTGTTCCTCGCCACCTAAGTCAGCGCTAGTGGGGGTAGGGGGAGTCTTACTTCGACGTGGGGGGCTGAGGACTCACAGCCCAGCCTCAGGCCGCACACAGTTCATGCCCCTCGGGAACCACTACCCACCCACTCCAGGCGCCCGTCTCTGAACCTGCCCTGCTCCGAACTCGCGGGGTCCCCAAGGTGACCCGTGGCCCCCGGCCCGAGACGGGCTTAAGCTGGGCCGCCAGCCCCGCCCTGAAGCGCAGCCCCGCCCGTTGCCGCTCACCGTGGGCCGCGACGCACGCGGGGAGCCAGAGCACAAGACAACACCAGCCCGCGGCGCCGGGGATCATCTCCAGGGCCCGGCCCGGCGCCGCGCTTCCTC